GGGGAAAAATTTACAATGCTACTGTCCACCACTGGCATTTCCAAGAAGTCTTTCTGTCTAGAAACTGCATAATGTATTTTTCACAACCAATATTAAAAATAATGGATACATTGTATCAGTTTGTGCACCAACTTGTGATTTGACTTGTTCTCCTATAACCTCTTTCCTGTTCTAATTTTATTCCGTTTTTATTTCTTTTTTCAGCGTGTCTATCAACAGCAACCAAACAGCAATGTTTATTTCCTCAGCAACATAAACCAGTGTCAAAAAGAGTGCCAAAGTAAGACTCAAAGTTGCCTTGTTCCCTCAAGCTACAAGAACAGAAATGGATAATAAATATTATAAAGATAATAAATATGTGGAAACCATTGTATTACTGTTGCATTTAAATAAAGCAGACCTTTACATGGTGCTAAAAGACAAAACATTGGACAACTATAATATATACATGAGCACGTACATCCTTGAATTTAAATATCTGATAACTTGTATTCAGAGAGGTAGACCAGACATTAACAGTCCTCAATCCTCCAAGATTCTTTTTTATTCCACATTGTCTTGCCTCGGTCAGTCCCAGCGCTGTCAATTTGGATTTGTTTTGTAAGGTACAACTGTCTTTTGTTTGCCCGCAGAAAACCTTCAGGAGCTCAACAAGGAGAAGACGTTGTCAGGACAAGGATAGATGGACTTGGCACCGAAGTTACGGAACTCGATATTTGATGAAGTCTTTGGGTACTAGGTGAATTTTTTTTTCATCTTCAAGAGGACGCAGCCAGTTTTGCGAAGAATTCTCCTTGTGGCAGTTTTGGCATCTGCCACGACAATACTTGTGACTCCACAGTCACAAAAGGAGTGATCACCCCAATAGGGTTGCTTGCCTTTATTTTGTCAGACAACCTCAATTTAAACCGGTAACTGATTTTATAGCACGTGAGTACCATGAGAAATAGCATTACTCAGAAATAGAAAAAGAATGTATTAAGAAAGAAAGAAAAGAAAAGGACATGTGGAAAAAATTAAATTGGAGGATTAGATACTGTTAGGTTTATAGAATTCGTAAATGTATAACAAACCAATAAATTCACAAAGCCCATCCTTTCTTGAGCAATTTTCCACCTAATAAAAGAACCCAACTTCCACCACCAACTGTCCACGGCTGTAATATTTACAGCATAGCATACCCCATTGGTTTTAATCAATCAAACGTTGTGCGCTGTGCAGATGTGAAGAACATTTCGTGCAAATACTACTGTAAAACTGTGGTACATATGTGCGTTTTGGCTTCGGACAAGCAATACTTTTCATTTAATTGTAGAGGTTAAGTTTGTGGGCACTGCCTTTGCATTGTGGCAGATTGTTACAGTGGCCTTATTCAGATATACCATCTACCTGGGATTTTCCTAGGAGAGAAACCATGTATCTAAAGGTGGCAATATCAAACTGGAGATCTGCTTCCGTCATTGACAAAAAGGCGTCGCCATTCTGGATGTCTGTGTCCAGCCTGGCCTGTGCTATCTCAAGCAGGGCTGGCTTCATGACGGTGGCTGCGCGGATGACGGAGAGCGGAGCATGCTCCTTCTTGATCAGGTTGGCATACTCCATGCTACTGCCAATCCGGGTCAGCAGGTGGCGGACTTGTTCCTTGGAGTAGAGGAGGCACTTGGACCTCTGCTGGGCGCGGTGCTCGACGGATCCCGTCAGTGCCATCTCCCGTCTGGCCAGGATGTTGTGGCACTCGCAGATGAAAGCCCTCAGCCTCTTCTTGGCCCTGCTGCGCTCGGCGTTGATGCACTCCTCCTCTTGGCGGATTTGGCGGAAAGTTTCGCTGGCTAGTTTCTGTTGCTCAGTCACTGCCTCCAGGAGGCGGTCCAGCTCTGCCCGGCTCTCCTGGGCCACCTTGGAGATATCGCAGATTGAGTGCCGAGGGCCAGGAGTGTGGCAGAGCTCTTTGCAAATTTTGCAGAGGGGCACGTTACAGGTGCGGCAGTAGAAGTCCAGCCGGCAATGGTTGTGGGTCGGGCAGAAGCCAGAGTCGTCACTGGCTGCTGCCTCGCCCCACCCTCCCTCGGAGCTCCGGGCGGGGACGAAGACAGTGTGGTGCCGCAGTGCCTTGTCGTCGCGGTGCCGCCATGTGCACCTGTCGCACAGGTACATGCAGAGGATGCACCAGTGTTGGACCTGCCTGATCACGCCTTGGCACCCACCGCATCTGACTCCCCCCAACGATGATGATGTCTCCCCGTCGGCTGGGTCATGCTTGGGTTTGCAGCTGTTGGCAAAGTCCAGGATCTGCTGCGCAATGAAGTTGTTCGGGATGCCGTCTGCCCCGCGGGCTGGGACGTTCATGCGGTGTCGACACTCGGGACAGCTGAAATGCAGAGCTCCACGGTCAAGGCCACGCTCATTATTTATGATCTGCTCCAAGCAGTCCTTGCACACGGTGTGATGACACTCTAGAAGCTTGAACTTCAGACCCTCGCCGGAGCATGGAGATTCTTTACACACCATGCACTGCAGCAGTGCTCGTTTCAATTCAACCATATCGAAGACCCTCTCGTCACCACCAGATGCCATGGTGCCAAACAATTTTTAAAAATCTGAAGTTTGTCAGCTCAGAAACTGTCAGGAAATTTGCAGTGAATACTGTTAACCGAAGTTGGTGATCTTTGTTGTGTATGCTGTATTACATATACTGGCACAAACATGCACGGTCAAATGGCTACCAGTGACATCACTGCATGACTTTGGAAGCCACTTTTTAAGCAAGTGCACACTTTATCTGTTAAGTCTGGCACAAGAGAAATGAAACTGGAAATCTGCCCAAACAGATTATGCGGGGACTTATATACACAAGTACATGCCAATCCTCTGCCCTCCAGAGAGGTCATGCATAGCCAACTCTTTTGAAAGCACACTTCCTTTTTGTCCTGTTTGGGGCCTGTAATTTCTGTCTGGACCAACAGGGGAAAGCCAAAATAACGTATGTACAGTACACAGCAAAGCTGGAACTGAATGGAAAAACCTGGAGATAATAAAAGGATTTGTGGGTCGACCCAACTAGGGGCCCCTTGCCACATCTAACAACACAAGGAAATGACCCCGCATAGGAAGTGTGTATTACATGTATACACCAGCAGGTAATATATGAATCCTGAACAAGGCATTAACCGTCGTGATCATCACAAAAAAAACCCTGAAGTTTGATGGCTGCAGTTTAACTTTCTCCCAATGGAAGGATAATTGTTGTCAGGGAAATATTTTGGAGTCAGTGTTAACCTTCGTCCCCACCTCCACCCCCCCCCAAAAAAAACATTTATTGTTATCACCGAGATCTGTAAATACTTGGAACAGTGCCAGTTGTGTTTGCAAGCTCAGCTAGAATTCAGTGACTTGCCACTGTTTACCAGAAAGATAGTCCCACAAAGTCAAACACAATGTAGGTACAGATTCCGCCAGAGGCCCCTTCTCCCCAAAACACACAAAGAGACAGCTACAAAAAATTTGGGGTTTCGGTTTGTAGTGGTGTTGTCTTTGAAAAGAACCACCATAGGCGCACCAAAAACATTGCCTTATATGGTCATGCTGGAGGTGTGTGTGGGGGTGTGTACATCACTCAGCCAATCAGAACACAGGTATGCAAATTTGGTATGAATGAGGATGCTGAGTCATTTTTGCTGCTTTACAGACAGGCAGTGCTGGTGTGTGTGTGTTTGTCGATGGCAAAAGTATTGCTAAGAATTGCACCATGTGTGCCATGCAAAAAGATTGTTTCTCTAAGTTAGATTTTGGAAATTGTAGGTTGTAATCGTGTAACTAAGAATTGAGCAATCCAGTGACATGTTTTGAGCAATGTTTACAAGTGCATCGGGCAACACGACAGGTTTTCATTGTTTCTTCCCACTGGATTATGTACGTCAGGTGTCCAGATGAAAATGAATACTACATGTACATGTATGTTAGTCAACAGTGTTGAGGGTTCATATGGCTTGACATTGTGCGAAATCTCTGTCATGAGTGAACAGTAATGCAGGGGATTTATTAGACTAAAACAAAAACTTGATTGGCCAGTTTGCTGATACAGAAACCCACAAACAGCTTTACACTTTTCCAATTCATCCACAGGAAACACGTAAAAAATTTAGATATGTTTCCAATTGTTTCTTACAGTTTTTATTGTGCTAATGAGGCAAGTTGATGGGAGTGGATGGTAGATGTGGTTGTCATGGCAACAGAAATGCCACAGAGAGGAATTCATCAGCTGAAGTTCACATACCGGTGCATGTACACTGAAGAAACTATGGTTTTGTGACACTCGGCAACTAAGTGATGTTGCCACAAGAGCTGCACATGCAACGCTAGAGGGAGATGTAGGGGTGTCACACGGTCATGCCCTCCCCCCATTAGTCAGTTCTATAGGCAAACTTCTGGTGCCATCAGCAAGAATGGAAAAGAATGGGGGGTTTCGGGAACTAGACCACCAGTACACTCATGAATGATACAACCTCCTACCATTTAAAATGGTCTAGCAATGCTCATGCATTGCTGCTTTCAATTTACTGTTTTTGGTGCATTTGATGCTTTTATCTAAGAACTGTAGATGCCTACCCAGTCCCCAAAGTATGAAGTTCATGTCTTGGGAGTGGATTTGATTTCTTAAAGTTTTCTACATGTAAAACTTTTGAAGTTGTTTATGTAATATTTGGTGTGTGTTCCCCTTTGAGATTATGAAGTCACGGAGAATTAAAAAGTTTGTTGGCCTTCAGAGAGTTCACAAGTTGCAAACAGCTGGTCCAGGTGGATGATGAAATGGGGTGGGAGTGTTGCAAAATACTGGTGTTGCCCTCTGGACCCCTGAGGGCAGGTGTTCATGGCCTCTTGGCAGCCAGCCAAGTGACGCAGGTGAAACAGAAAGTTTTGCTGGCTGCATGGTCAGTCTAAACCTTAATGCCACAGCGCACATCTGGGGGTGGGGATGTGTGGTGTTGAAATTGGAAAAGTTGAGTAAGGAGAGTAAATGTCTCCACCAATGACTTTGTAGTTTTAGTTGTTTTGATGCATACAAATGCATCCAACTGCTTTGTTGACTTTTGTGTATGTGTATTTTGTTGACAAATGCACTGAAATAATTTTGGAAAAACAAATCACATTTTCTGGCCATATTTGTATGGGGGACGGGCCACAATTTAGTGAGATCAGATTTAGTATTTGGTTTGACTTTAACAAGTTCTATAATTTTTCCAGCTGACAAAACGTTGGGGGAAGGCTTTTTTAGGGGGGTCTCAAATTACATGCATCTGAAGTCCGTGTATAACACACTTGATCTTTCAAAGGTAATGAATGTTTCTACAGAGCTCAAACGCTACACATCCAGCCATCCAAAAAGACCCCAAGGGAACATTGATTCTAAAATTAATCATGTTGTGGTAGGGCAATTTAGAACTGCACCATATTGATGTACACAACCAACAGCGTAATCTCGGCTAATACGATTGTAAGCCATTTGTACATGTTCACAGCATTCATGTATTAGGCAAAGCTGCTTACCTCAGTGGTCAGGTGGTGGGTCAACTCTAGGGAAGTTCTCACTGGAAATAGGCAAAGTTTGTTGAACCTTGTACAACCTTCCTCCTCATGTCTGGCAGGTTTCAGACTATCCCGCCCAGCAAGAAATGAGACCGAGGGGTACCCCCCCACGTCCAATCCCTATACACTTT